ATATTTGTATAACAAAATTGAGAAATAGCACTCACTGGCTTCAATTCAGGCAAACCAGTTTCGTTGTGTTACTTACTTTTTAACGGTTATCTCACCTGAAACTCTGATTTGTCTGCTAATTTTGCTCAAACTCGATTTTATTGTTGTAGCTGGTCCTAGCAACATTTTATTGTAGTATTGTTGTATTGCCAACAACAAGCTAGTACAAGATGCATTCGCTCGCATACTCAAAAAGAGACTGTTACAAAATTTTTAACTCATTAGACGGGGCTTAATTGTTCCAAAGCATGGTAGAAAAGTTTTAGGTGAAAATATGTCGTGTGCAAAGTAGTTTGAAAGTTGTCCATAGTGGTGAGAATTAAGTGTTGCATTGTTGCTTACAATAAGTTCCCTTTGTATGGCAGAAACTGATTCATTTCGTATGAAAACATTTCAAATCGCATCACTTCATGTTGCAGCAGTTTAAATCACATCATCCACATCATCACATTACAAATTACAAAATATTCAACAGCATCACGTTTATAATTTGAACGTTTAGAATTTGAAATCACATTACAATTACATGACCACACATCACAGCATAATACGTCACATCACACCGTAATACATCACATGACTTCATATTACATCATCACATCATGTCATATTCGTCACATCGCATCAAACTAAATAAAATAAAATATAAAAAAAATAAAACAAAATAAAATAAAATATAATAAAATAAAAATAAAATAAACATAAAATAAATATAAAATAAAATAATATAAAAGAATATAAAAATAATTATAAAATAAAAAAAAAATAAAAATGTAAAAGAAAATAAATATAATAAAATAAAAAAAATCACGATACAAAAACAAAATTAAATAAAAAACGATATACGAATAAAATAAAACAGAATAAAATAAAATAAATAAAATAAAATAATATAATAGAATATAAAATAAAATAAAAAAGTAATATAAAAGTAGAAAAAGAATAAATTAAAAAAATTAAAAAAAACGATATAAAATTAAAATTAAATAAAAAAAGTCATAAAAAAAATTAAATTAAATTAATTAAAAAACGATATAAAAATAAAATAAACTTAAATCAAATGAAATAAAGTGACTGAAAACAAAAAATTAAAAAAAAAATTATCAAAATTAATTAATAATCCGGTACTGTAGCATTGTGAGTTATAGCTTTACTGCAGACAAAAATCTTCACCTTTTATTAAACTCACATATTTCAGATTCCACGCAAGTGACAACTTTTCGCTGCCTGCCACTTGCAAGCGACAAAAGAAATTTCATAACGCGCGCATACAAAATTCTTCACCGTTAGATTTTCCAGAACGAAATGCATTTTTAATAGTTGCTAGTTTAATGCTTGACGATTAGTTTGGAGCGCGTTCGTTGCTGCTTGATTACAGCACTTCAACATGACTTCACGCACTTTGGCCAGAGCATCGCAAGCTTTAGTAGCAAAGTATATGCATTGAGGTATGTGCTCGGGTAAATGTTCTTTACTAACTTTGGAAATTCGAAAACAAACGAGCAAAAATTTGGTAAGCAGAAAAAAAATGATTTTTTTTGGTTTATGGCAACGTGCTCTAACTAAGTCCGCTACGCTTGCGTTTTCGCACGTTCAAGTTGAGTGTTCTATTAGTACATAAATATATTTGAAAGTATATAAGGAACGTTTGTAGTTGTTATATGATAAGTTAACTGAGAACTAGTATGCTTGATATTAATCAGATATTAATATAATATTCTCTTACTAGTTTAAAGTGTTAAAAAATTTTACCGGTTTGATTTTCTACTGTAAACACTTATTTTCTTAAATTGAAAATGAAAGTAAATTTAATTTTTTTATTAATAAATTAAATTTTTTCTGAGGAATTGAAATTTGTACAACTTTAATAATCTTTTTTTCAGGAGTATATAATACATTGTAGTGCATGGTATGCCTACAAATTGGTCCCTCTATATGTACATATGTATATATTTGCGTAAGTTCACACTGAAAAGGCGAACTTTTAATTAAACCTACATTCAGTTACATACATTTGTGGTTTTATGGCGGAAAATTACAAGTTCTTGTTTTAATTTTCAAAGGAAGGTTTTATATATATTATTTTAAAATAATTGTAATTATACATGAAACAATAATAATAATTTTTTATTATTACTTTTTTAGATTCTTAAAAAAAAAAATAATTATGTCTACTAGTGCTATTGGTATGTATTGGCATGTTCTTGCATAATCAATTAATAATAAGTGCATAATTAATTTTATATTAATTAAAAGTTGCAAAAATATACATGCAAAGAATATGGTGTGTATGTCCCTGTGTGTGTGTGTGCTTATTAGGCTAAAATTATTATTTTTGGTATTATACTAAGTATATAAACGGAAAATGTTGATAAAAATAATAATTGGGATTTTACCAATTTCTTTTTTAATTGCGAGCGCAAAGGATTTGCTTACCAGCTTCACTTCTCAAAATATACAACTACATGGATTTTTCTTTAATTAATTTAACCAAATTTAATATTTGAAAAATACCTAAAAACTAGCTTCAATACTTCTAGCTAAGCTTACTAACGATATAACTAAAATATTACTAACATCATAGACATATTCAAATATCAAAATAGAACTTCTCTAGCAGCGTATGGGGGCAATATGATATATTCCTCTGATTACGATTATTTCCAGTGACTATATTTATTTGTATATACGTGTATAGAATACTAATCCTACGCTTATAGATGCTTTTTTTACATAGTTTTGCCCTAAAACTTTACTACATGAATAAATTATTACTTTTTTTTATATTAATTTGATTTCAATAATTTTTGGCACCAATATGTATTCCATCATATGAGTGCAGAATACCAGATTGCATGCTCTTGGAAGCTTTTTTTTGACGAATTTATAATCCAAAATCCTAAATCTGAATAATCGTATGTACTCAAATACTATAGTGTATCGCTTTGGCCGGTTTTGATTATTTAAATATTCCATCGGTTTAAATATCTCCAAGACTGAGAGACTAGTTTGCAGATATAAAAGGTTAAATCAACTCAATTCGTTAATCTGAGCCGATGATCGGTATTAATCGTGATGGTATTATTTCTCGTGCCTCTGGTTCATACATACTTCGGACCAAAATTAATAAACCATTTCATGTGCATGAAATGAATGCAAAATAATAAAAATCAAAAATAATTGTCAGGCGTTTTATCTTAAGATGAGGAGATGACGTGCACTACAACAGTGGCGGAAAAGTTTGCAACCGAGTTTTGAAATGCACATTTATAAAGCCCAGATTTGTTTGCAGAGAAAGTTTCTCAACTTGAAAGCTAGCTGAAAGACAAAAGAATTGCTGCGACGTAATTAACTGGCCATTTTTTTTTTCGTGAGTTTTGGATTTCTCTAACCCAAGAAGGGCAGCAAGCTTGCAAGGAAATTATTTGGGAATATCCATGACGCTCAGTTGCCAATCTTAAGTCCATAAATTGGGAAGCACGCCAATATGTATTCCTTTTTATCGATGTGCAAGTGGTAAGATGGTTTTTTCGAGCTCTTCTACGGTGTGAAGAGTCATTCAGTAGTCTTAGTAGTGCCTACAGTGGAAATCATGGCATATTTTTGATAGGTAAACGTTGAAATCTTATTACAAATCATTTTTTTTTAAATAATTGTAAATAAAAAAAAAACTCACAGGGCTCATTAGTGGTCAACCAAAAAGGAGTATAAAATTTCTCTAAGAGGAGGCATTTATACATCTTAGCTGTTACAAATTTATTTGTTTTCGTCATTCTTTTTCGTTAGTTAGAAAGTCGACAAATCGTAACGACAAAAGTTCACTAACTTCCCTAATACAGGACTATTAGGTAGTATTATCGCTAGGCATTTCATGCCTTCAAATTCGATGTGAAATTTCGAAATGTAAAATGTGGGCATGTAATATGCGATTATCTGTGGCTTGGCACACAGCTGTTGATTATAATACCCGCCTAAGATAAGCATAAGAGCTCATAAGTAGCTCCAAAATGTAGAGATTTTTATAAATAATCGTGCTCAGAAAATAAAAAAAAAATAAAATAACTGTCCTAACCTATATATACCCTATATTCTAACAATCAATTAAATATTGGTTTAGAAAAATATAAATAATCATATATATTTATTTATTTAAGGAGAAAAAACCTTTTGGAACATAAGTTCTCAAATCTATGGAGCTCTTTTACATTACTGTAAAAAAAATTGACAGCTTTTTTTTTCACCAAAATCGAAATTTGTAATTTTTTTTAAATTATAAACAATATTGTATTGTGTTTAATTAACGGGTTCTCGGTTTACCCCAATATTATTTTGTTACTTTAAAATCATGCGAAAAAATGCTAACAATCATTTTCAATCTCTAGTTGTAGGTATGTATTTGAGAAGAATTTCAAAAAAAAAAAAAAAAATATATTCAAAAGCCAAAACTCTCAAATAACTAAGGACACTTGAAGCTTTACTTAGGATCACTAGTTAAAATGAGAAAATTAAAATTAATATTGAGATTACATAAAATCAGAATGAGAACCTATATTTTTCACAGAAGTGTTATTAATTTACTGTAAACTATAAAAAAAACCGTTGACATAATTTTATCTTAGGATTAACCCATTTATCAACTTAAGTAAACTTTCTGGACTTAATTATGGACTTAATTAGCTTAAAATTGGAATGAACTTGGTTTTTAAGTATTCTTTTCTACCTTTTTTAGATTATTTATATATCTTATTTCTTGTATATATATCTTATTTATTATATATATTTGATTTTATATATCTTATATTTTCTAAAAAATATATTTTTAAAATTTTAACTAGCTTACGCTACCTTGAACTATGCATATATGTAAACCTAAATTTTTCGATATCACTTTTTATTTATTTAATTTTTCTTAGTTTGTTTTTTCTATTCTTATTAAGATTTTTTTTTTGTTTTTTACATACCGATCATAACTCTGGCTGGCACAGCATTCCATTCCAGCCAAAATGTGATAAATGATGATGTCACCAATATAATGCCGGGTATAAAAACAGTGGTGAAATAATATGCACGATCCCTGGTAAAAGTCAACTCGACTTCTAGGCAACTGTAATTACCTTTAGGAAAAAAACATATACACAATACAACAACATAAGGTAGAAAATTGCCAAAAAATGGCATAATGAAAAACTTGTTTCTAGTTATTTGTATTTTTTTTTATTATATTAAACTATATAGTTAGGTAGCTTGCTAGATACTTTTTATATATTTTTTCATTTGCTTTGTGAAGAACATAAATAAAGAGTTATTTGTTTTTTGGGTTCATTGTCTAAAACTATTTGAAAATTTTTTTTTATCAGCGACAGAGACGACGAACATTTAGGTCACACACTATTTATGCATTGAAGAGTATTTTACATTATTAAATTTTATATATATTTATAATGTATATATATATGTATATGCAACAGACGAGACAAGAGACTTAAAAATAAAGAGATATTTACATACATATAGACAGACAGAAGTCGAGTGTGAAAATCGTTTGAAAGTAACAAAACGGAGACGAAGACAAAGACATTAATGAAATAATGAAAGTTCAACACACGGGCTTAATTGTAAAAAAAGCTTTACGTAGTGAAAGCTCGTTAGTGTAAATTGACTCTTTTTGCCATAAACTACACTTTGAAGAATATATAATACATATTTATCATACTACAAAGTATAGCTATTGCACTTTCTTAATGAAGTTAAAATTAAATTTCTTTCTTACACACACAAAAAAACACTGTTAGACCGTTAAAAGCTTTTTTGGTGATTTTCATACACATAATCTCTCTCACTTAGCATGACTTACGTGTAAATTAATTTATTTTCTTAAAAAAAATTTATAACTTAAAAATAATACTAATTTCGGAAAAATTTCCTAAATACTTAAATACTGTATAAAAATAGTAATCAGCATTATTATTTAAAATGTAATTTTTACTAACATAAATAAGATTTAAAACTTCAGTTTGTCATTTTTTTGGGGTATTGGAAAGTAATAAAAAATTTTTTTTTAAGGTTTGTGGGGTTTTGTAAATCTCTGTATCATGTAATAATAATACATCGTGTCGTCTACTACTAAAATCTCTCGCATGCAATAAAACGCTGTTAATTGTTGTTTGGCGGAAATGAGTGTGTATGAACTAAAGGCAAACTTGTTTTTCCAATAATTTTTGTACGAGCATGTAAAATATGATAGAAAATTTTTTTGAAAATATTCTTATTACATATATGCAATAAATATTAATATTAATTGAATAATATATATATGTATTTTTTTATATTTTTTCGCTTCAAACTAGCACGAGCTTCAAGGGTGATTTACGTGTAAATAATTAATTTTACTGGCAAGTAAAAGCAAAATTTACTTCAAAATACTTGAGAAGAAAAAATGATAAAGAAAATATCTAAAAAAACTAAATTCATATAAGTACTGTTGGCTTTGGCAAAAGGCATATTGAGGTGGAAATACTGATGAAAGGAGCTTTAGAATGCAGATATGGCTGACGAGCGCGATCAAAACAGGCTGGGATTTTATTTTTGGCAGGACGTAATGGGAGATTTTAAGTGAAAAAAAATCAATTTCAATTACTACGAAATTCAATGAAATTACTATTGTTCAAATATGCGTAATGCACAAACTACAATATTAAACAACCCGTTCTAAAGAAAATATATACTAATATGTATGTATGTATTTCGTTTGTACTATGTGTGAATTTGAATTTGTGTTGCATAAAAGTAAGGCCATAATCAGCAAATAACAACCAGCTTGGAGCATTCAAAATTATAGCAAATCAATTTGATATAAATATAAAAGTAAGCACTGGCTCAACTACATACATACGTACAAACTGAAATTGATTTATAAAATTTAAAAGAAAAATATTTTATGCTTGATTATTGAAATACAATATAAAAAGCTAAAAAAATTAGCTTTAATTTTCTGCTTTTTTTTTATGAATTTTGGAAGTGTGGGATTTATTGGTTTCTTTGCTGGGATTTTCAGCTTTGTTGTAATTTTTTTTTGCGGTTTTTTATGGTTTCTTGTATGTTTCATTGTTGTTGTTGTGGTTGTTAAATTTTTCATTTGCATGTTTTATTTTGTTACCTATCATCGATCTAGCCGGAACTGCATTCCATTCTAGCCAGAATGTTATAAATGATGACGTCACCAGGATTATGCCAGGTATAAAAACGGTGGTGAAATAGAATGCACGATCTCTGGTAAATATTAAATCGACCCTAAGACAGCTGTAGTTCCCTATGTTGGTAGTTGTTGATGTTTTTGGTGGGTTGGCATTACATACAATATATATATGTATATATATGTGTATGGTTAGTATTTTAATCGAAAAATATAAATAAGATTTTTTTACTATGTTTTAATATTTTTTTTTCAGATTTTCGCTTTATGTAAAAAAATTTATTACTAAATTTATAATATGTACGCATATGTATAATTCTATTTTTTCGTAAATATTCTTTTTTCTTACTAATACTAATTAGCATTACTAAATTATGCAAAAAATATTTTTATTTTTGCTTGCAAATTTTCTAAGACGCACAGGCAATTTGAACGAGTAATAATACAGTAAATGATACCTATATATAGAGGATTATATGTTTTAACGGTTTATATATTTTAACGGTAGTACAAGGCATATAAATCAACTACAAACTACAGCGAAAATAAATTTACAAAAATTAAATGATTTTGTAAGCGTTTTTAAAAAAGCCTAATTAAAAAGACTGAAAACGGAGCGGCAATAATAAAAAAAAAAAATAATAATAAAAAAATAATAAATCGCTTATATCTCGGAGAGCGAGTGGATCAAGCATATTTTAAAAATAATAGTAAATTGAGAGCCACACTGGATATCCAATCAAAGCAAATTCACTTTGATTATATGCTGGAGATGTCGTGAATTGGGAGCAGATGAGAGAAGTAGCTCAAGAGTTGAGTTGAATGAAAAGAACAACAACACAAAAGCGCAGTTTGTGTAGAAAAAAACCGTCGCTTGCCTCTCTAAAATTCTCGCACCGTTTCTCCTAAATTTTCGAAGGAAGAACACCTTCAAAGCCAACACCTTACGAGTGCGGCTGAAGACCCTAGCCATTGAGCAGACTCACTTTGCTCCCCAAACTAGACGTTTGCGATAAAGTTCGCTCGATTTTACAAATTTTTCAAGTTTCATCTCCATAAATTTCTAGGCTGGAAGCATAGTGGATGATGAGACGACTCAATCGGCTGAAGGTCGGATACTGGGAAAGGTAGTGCTCGAACGTTTCGTCATCCTGTAAGCATATTCTGCAGCCAGACACTCTTTGGAGATGATATCTCATGGATATAGGCCAGTGAATACACTCAAAACACCAAGTTCTATTCTGCTTAAAGCGAATAATTTAGTGGTAGTTTTTACGTTGGAAGAGTTCGAATTCGAGTTCCTCTGTGTTTCACGGTTTTAAATATCATTTGAAGGCGCTGAAGGATGTGAGGCAGTCGATGGGGATAATCCCGCTTGGGGCCCAAGTGATGTGCACTATGTTCTGCCGCTATAGATATTGTCTCCTCACATATTCTAGACATTTGGACTTGTGTTGACGCACTTTATAACTATTTGACTGTTCAGCAGAATCATAGTTTGCTCATGTGACACCTTCAGTAATGCTCACAATCTCTGCTTGATATACAGAGTTGTAGTCTTTGCGTTTGTAGCTACCTTGCCTATTGAAACGTCTACAAAAGATTCCTGCTCCTGTGTTTGCTGAGCGCTTGTAGCCTTTAGCATAGATATAGACACGACTAGATGATCTCTACCCAGCAATCAAGGTAGCCTTTTAGATCTAGCCCGAGTTTCAATAAAATTTTCAAAACGCAACCATCTCCTTCCTTGTCAGAAGAGACTGAATAGAACTGTATATGTAGAACATTTGGGCGCTTAGCTGTTAGCGCTGCTTCATAGATCGCTTGTAAGTTAATTGTCCTAATGTCAGGTATGATTTCAAGGATCTTTCCTGAGGTGGTCTTCATTGTGCCTGCTATACCAAGTAGATAAGTTAATTGCTTTTGTTTCAAGGATTTAGTACGGCAATGTTTCTTTAATATCGCCCAACACACTAGTGCTCCATAAGGTGGGATAGGTCTTATGACACTTATGTAAACTCAATACACCAGTTCCCATTTTGGTACCTTTGGATAGCCCTTCTACTTCTACGCTACTTCCAATATGTGCTCTTTAGCCAAACTTTTGTTTTATCAAGGATTATGCCAGGATACCTAACACGGTTGGAGAGAACATTAAAGAAGATGTGTTGATTTGAAGAAATTTCATCTTTATTGTCTCTACCGAGGTCACTTTTCGTACAAGCATAAATAAATTATATTTTTTCCTCATCCGGAAGGCATTATTACTAAATTAAAAAAAAAAACAAAAAAAAAAAAACATATAGAAGAATACATTTTTTTTTATTAATATTTTCGTATCCACCAAAATCTTTTTTTCGATTTTGAGCTTCACACTCTTTCTACATATTTCGTTTTACAGCACTGCATGAGAGTAATTGCGAGAAACTACGGAAATGAGGGTGAGATACTCAAAATATTTTATATATCCAAAAATCATTTGATTAAGAGAAAGGCAAAAAGAGATGTTGGTTTCTTCAACAAAAGTCGAGAGCAGCGAGATAAAACAGCAGTGAAGAGAGAAGTGTTATCTTAACTAGTGGCTCTCAATATGAAGTTGGGCGATTTCATAATGCTCATAATCAGTTATGTTGGACATACGCTTTGTTATTGCAATATTACAGCGTTATTCGCCTGTGCAGTGCTCTCTACCAAAATGAAAATAATCGAAATCGTCAAAACTAATTTTAACTTAAAATTGAAAGCTTTCACCAGACTTTTGCTACAAATTATACCAATTAAATATTATATACAAAATTTATGTATAAAGAGAAATAAAAAAATAATAATAATAAGTCTTTATCCTAAAATTACATCAATTTTTATTTATTACCAAAATTAGCAGATAACATAGAAAAATTAAGTTTGCAAAGACGCCACTACTAAAAAATTAAAAGTAAATATATATATATATAATATATATAATATATAATATATTTTCTTATAGCAATAAACAGCTACATAGTTAATATTATAATAAAAATTTATTCGTGAAAATATATAAGTTTTATTTTATTTTTTTGATCAATAAATTTTGTTTTCTTAATTTTTTTTTTTACAATATAACTCGACATACTCACCTCGCCAACTATTTTGATCACAGGGTGTTGTTTGATTTTTTATTAAATACGCATTTAATGTGGTTAGTGAAGGACTTTTACGTAGCGTGTCCTCGTCATTTTTCCAAACATATTTGATTTGCGCCTCCTCATAGGAAACTAAGAAGCAGAAAAGTATTGATTATTAATTTAAACAAATAAAAATATTTAAAAATATTCAATGAATGTATGATAAATGAGACATAATATGTCTCTATCACATCGCAAACACAACTCGAACCGGAGTAGTTTCTATATTTTAAAGAGCTTATCGGACTAAATGCTGGGGATTCGAGGATTCCACCTTTAAAAGATCTGGTTTGAATTTTTGCTCCAACTACGTTCCTCTGCAATCTTTTGACTGCAACTCGTATGTCATAGCTGAGCTTCGGCTGATAATTATTATAATAATAGTCACACCATTTTTCAATTCTAATACCTGCAGTGGAACGTCCGCTAAGTCCAAAGAACTCAAAACATAATATTTGTTTGATAAATGACTGCCTCATCTGCTTCCACAGCGGTGTATAAATTATGACAATTAAGTAATGAGACTGATTATATTGCCGCGATTGTGGTAACTTTGCGTTCTTGAAATTCCCTTTCCCTTCTCCCGGCATCATTCTCCTCTCCATTGATATATTTGCCATCGCTCCAGCTTGTTTAGTTCGCCTGCTGTGTCGCGTTGAGCAAACGTGTGTTCGTGTTGGTCGTCACGAAAACGGAAAAACAAAATCAAGAACAACGCATCGCGATAAGATTTTGCGCCAAATTGGGCGAAAGAACTCGGAAACGTACATTGCATGGTGATAGTGCTCGAGCGCGGAGTGGAAGACCAGTCGAGGTGCGGACTCACACGAGTGATAGCTGCCACAAAGAATTTCTTCCGTCAGGGAAACCCCTAAATCTAGTCTACTATGGCCAAGTACTCGACAGATTGCGAAAACGCATCAACAGGGTACGCCCAAACATCACCCGTAACTGGATCCTTCATTCCACCTTCAGCGTGTCCCTGAATTTGACCACTAAAGGGATCGCCGAATCGCAACAATAGTCTTTTTCGCCCGATATGTCACTCTGTGACTTGTTTTTTTTCCCCTAGAACAAAATCGGTGGTCAAAGGAACCCATTTTGAGTCGATTGAGGACAACCAGGCGGCCGTGAAGAGGGTACTCGTGGACATTCCAGTCTAAGCGTTCCAGAGGGGACTACTTTGAAGAAGAACACTTGTATATTTACTTATATGTAACGGATTCGCTTTCAATTTACTCTTAAAAGTATAGTTGACCACTGGGTTTAGTGGTATATCAGTCAGGACCATTGACAGCACTTCATCTCTGAGAGTCAATGGACTACTCAGCCACGGGGTCACTCCGTAAAATTGGATATGTACGATATCATACCAAGTTAAACAGATCGGTACGATCCAATTATATCAACCGATAACTACTTCAGAACACGAACTCCCAGCTGGTAAGATTGGCTAGATAATTAGCATACTCCAAGGAACAGCCTGGAAATCTACACAGACGGATCAAAGCTTGAGGAGCGAGTTGGCGGAGGTATTTTCTCAGGGAACCCACAGATGTAACTCTCTTTTAGGCTACCTGACCATTACAGTGTTACTGCTATCATTTAGGTTGCAGCCAGCTTTAAAGATAAGGATATCTTCATTATCAACGACTGTCAGGCATCAATAAAAGCACCCTAAATTCCAAATTAGTGTTGGACTGTCGCCGATCTCTACAACGGATGGCCAAACAGAACATACTCTCTCTTACGTGATTTACTGGTCACAGGGACATCGATAAAGAACGCATTGGTATGCTGCTTTTCATGGAATTTACATATGAACAAGCCGAAACAAGTTGAGAAGATACTACAAGTTGCCGCCAATCCAGACACTACTAGCCTTAAGGGGTTGAGAAGAGATCAGGAGATATGTATTGCTTAAAAAGAAGAGACGTTTTCATATTAATAAACATTCTGATAGGTCACTGTCTGATAGTACGACACTGGCCAATACTAGGGGCTCCTTATAGAAAATCCTGCTGACGATGCAAGGAAAGTGAGGATGAAGAAACGATCAACCATTTCTTAAGCGAATGTCTTGCTTTGGAAAGTTCAAGCCGATGCCAAAGTCATTGACCTAATGAGGTTCATTAGATAATCAAAATATACGAATATAAATATAAATATAAACATAAATATATATAAAAACAAATATAAATATAAATATAAATATAAATATAAATATAAATATAAATATAAATATAAATATAAATATAAATATAAATATAAATATAAATATAAATATAAATATAAATATAAATATAAATATAAATATAAATATAAATATAAATATAAAATATAAACCAATATTCTACTTTTTAAAAAAATGGAAGCAGAGAACGTGGCGAACAGGTTAAATCGAAAATGATGAATAGTAAAATATAGCAACATGAGTACTCCATTAAAATGCCAGCGGGCGTTATTGTTATCCTTGCTGCTTGGCAATAGGCGCAAAGCGAGACTGACAACAAATTTACGCTGCTGGCAACGAGCACAAACAATAGCGATTCGCTCGCCACACCACCACCAGCGCACTGCTCACAGGAACTATAGTAGTTATTAAGCCCCGCCATTGAAAGCGCACAACAAAGACAACAGAATTGTATGATGCTGGTGGTGGTGATGGCGGCTGCAGCGCGGCGCTGAAGGAAATGAATGAATGAGAAAATGAATTGTGTTGTATTGCCATTCCCAATTCACCTTTTAAATGTTGTTTTTCTTTTCAACTGATCCATTTTAGTAATCTCTTTCATTTTTTTAATTTTTTATTAACGTTTGCTTCACTTCTTCATTGTTCTTGTTTGTATTTATGTATTTTTGTATGTGTGGGGGGTATGTGCATTATGCACAAAAGCTGGCAATTTACTATTTATTGCTATGCTAATTTTAATTAATAACAAACAATACAACTTTCGCTCTCGCTTTCGCTTTTGCTTTTACCTGGTTGCGTCGCGTCAAGGCGCAGTGCATTAATATAAATAATATTGAATAATGAGTGTAAATTGCGGTAAAGATGAAAAATTGTTTTTGATGTGTTGGCAAATATTTTTTTTCTTATTGATTTATAACATAATTGCGGTAGTTTTATTTATTTTGTGTATATATTTATATATATATGTATGTAATGAATTTACTTAGTTTCTGTTTTAAATTTTGCATTTGTATCAAAATACTCACTGCTTTCCATAGAGAAGGAGCACTTTGGATCATCGAATGGGAATATGTGTAGGCTACCCTGGCAGGATAATATTAAATGACGTCTGTGGAAAAGAAATAAAAATTGTAAGTGATTTTACATACTTCAGGCGTTGAGTTGTTTTTAATATATTTTTTTTTTGATAATGGGAGTGAATGGCGCTACGTGCTCATGGCTTATATGCTTTTGACTTTCATACAATTGAAAATGAATAGGAACAATATTTTACATATAATTACATAGGTTAAGCAGTCAGAATCTTCTCTTCAGGGCTATTTTAGGGATATTTTAAGCTATAAGTCGAATTCCATTCCTATTGTTTCTAAATAAAGGGTTTTCCAATTAGAGTCATTTTGAATATCTCGAAGTTGTAATTTTTTGATTGAGATGTGAAAAATAAATCACGTGCGAGTCGTCCGAGCCCAAAAATCTTAAGGCTTATAAAGTTCAGTTAACACAAGAACTCAAGCCGGCCGATCATCATGTTGACTATGTAAATAAGGAAATTGGCGCATTTAGTGCTCGGAAAACCAAAGATTTATAGTTTTATATCACCTCTCCATTCTCGAAGTGTAACTTTTTGGTGTGTTTCACGGTCCGGCGGCGTCATTGGGCCTTACTCTTTCCAAAATTAATCTGTAGCAGCAATAAAGGTGAATAGATTGCTCCATTGATTAATAAATTTTTATAGCCGGAACTTAAATGATATTGATGTGAAGACTACTTACTTTCAAGAGAGCGCTATCTGCTATCTGCCACACAAGCAACAAAACCGTCGATCGTTTAAAAGGAAAGTTTCCGGATCGTGTTAACTCTCGAGTAGGTAATCGGTATTGGGAATCGAAATCTTGTGATTTAACAATTTCTGACTTCTTCCTTTGGGGCCACGTGAAATATAAGGTCTATGCCAGCAGGTCAATGCCGATTCAAGACTACAGAGAAGGAACTCGTGAAGTTATTGAGGGCATACAACAGCTGCTTTGCGATTTGTTGATGGAAAATTACATAAAAAGGATGCGGTTCTGTAAGCGAAACCATTATTGATGGCGTACCTACTTCTTAACATTGATCATTGATCTCAAAGAATGACATTTTTGTTTGCATGTCAAAATATCATATGACAGGTCGCCTCCTTTCAGAGTTTGTTCTGCCATTGCCTGAAGTATAGTTTTTTTAAGGACACAAAGGCAGGTCTAAGAAGAACTTTTGTTAGAAGGTTTCATATTCTAATTGGCCTTGTTCACATGATTCCATGAGGACTTCATACTGCTAAGTAATTATAGCCGTTTTAACAACAGCACGCAAATCCTTACCTTTCCTCGCCTTTTAGGGCTAATTAAACACATCAATTGTAGGACCTCCATAAGCTTAACAACTAATGTAAGTAAACCACACACTGTTTCATGCAGACTAATGGTAGAAGGATGGACTACTTCTCTAATCGTTTCCACTGTAATTTTTAGTTCGACTGAATTATAGGGTTTGCTTCAACATGGCTCAACAATTTCGTGGGGTCTACACAGAGCAATGAATGGTTTGAGCACCTTGAAAGGTGAGTGAGATATTTTTTTGCAGACCCACCGTAGATATCATAATGGGACAGCAGTTTTATGTTCACTAACTGACTAAATGGAGTGAAGGTCTTCTTTTTTCTCTGCTTCCACCAGCGAATACTGTATCGAATTCTTTCAAAGCGTTGGTGCTCTCATTCAAACTAAAAATATGACCCGGCTAGAGTAGCCGTTTAAAGTATAACAAATATCCTGGGTGTTGCGTATACTTGTTTGAAGACTCTACAGGACTATCCACCGCTGAAGTGGGCCCCACTCACTCACTGCCTGCATTTGCATTCACTGTGTACCGTATGTAAATATATATATATAAATATATGAACATATGTATGTACATATATATGTATTGAAATTATTTATTCAAAATGTTTTGATGCGTGACTAAAAAATGTCAAGCGCGAAACAATGACCGTTCACCAACAGTGAACCTCCACATACAACACGGCAGCCACGCAAGGAACAAGTGAAAAGCAAAGCGTGCCAGCCACTGTTGTTGTGGCTTGTGCACACGTTTGGCCAGTTGGCATATATAATGAAATGTCCTTCTATACGAGCTATTATTTTCATATTTTATTTTTTCATTTTTTTTCTTCTATTTTTTTCTTCCTTTTTTTATGCGCATTTACCGTAAAGTAAGGCCTCAATGTAAATTTGCATTTTATAAACATTTCGTAGCGCGTTTTGACGCCATTGGGACGCGCCATTCAAAATTCGAGAGAAACAACAAAAAAAAAAAATAAAAAAATTTTTTTTTATCTAAAAGTTTAAGTTGTTATGAAGAGTTAGGGTGGCGTAGGTGTTGAGCTCAACACACACACAATTATGTGAAAAATAGTTGTACACACCTCATTGCGTACGTAATGGTCCCGTTTCGGTAAATTCTTAAAGCGAAATGCATTGGTATAATGGGATCCTTAAAGTCGCCGTGCATAATGAAATAGGTGTCCGGTGTCCAGATGCTGTCGTGATGATGCAATGCATTTAAAAAGTCATAATGCGATTTGTTGCCATATTGTAGACGTGGATCGTTCCACTGTTGATTGAGTAGAAATTCAACTTCGTATTTCTGAAAAAAACAAAAACAAAAACACGACGGGGATGTGAGCTAATAGTATAAAAGTGTTGTTGCAATAAAAGCAACTCTTTTTTTTGATTTACAAGTATTGAAAAATTTGTTCTATTTAACTCACCAAACTACTTTCATCGGGCGAGGCTAAACTAAGCAGCAACACATTCACATTAACCGTTAGGGTACCTGGAAAAATATGCGTTAAAAAAATTGGCTCTAAAACTATGCAAAAGTTTGGGGTTCAGAATCTCGATTCGAAAAAATTTGATGGCTCCGCTGTTTTTCAATTTGTCTTTAGAATTCAAATTAATAAAAAATTATATTACTAAATGAATAAATAAAAAGATTGATAGAAAAACTAAATAAAAACAATTGGAAATTAAGCAAATAATAAAAAAAACTAAAAATAATATGTAAATAAATAAGCAAAAAAAGTAATTTTGAAATATTGAAAACTGTGTATACAAAGAAGTAAGGAAACATATATATAATATATAATAATAGATAAATAAATTAATAAAGAAGTAAATAAATGTTAAAAAAAAGAATAAATAAAGTTTAAATAATAAATAAATATATAGACAAGAAAAAAATAAATAATTAAATAAACATGAAACCAAATAAATTAATTAATAAATAAATAAAAAACTAAATAAAAATATAATATATATACTTTAATACATAAATAAATAAAGAAAGAGAGAAGTGACAAAAAAAAATAATAAATAAAAACCGTAATGAATAATTAAATAGGTATGTAATAATATAAATAATTAAAAATATATTATTGAATAAATAATAAATAAATAAATGAGTAAGCAAATTAAAAAAATTCAATTAAAAAATTAAAAAATTATTTTAATGAATAAATGTACGAACAAATTAAAAAAAAAAATTAAATACAGTAATATATAAAGAAAAAAGGAAATAGATAAATAAGCCAAAAAAAAAATAAATAAATAATTGAACTAATGAATAAAAAATAAATAAAAAAATGAAAATGTATTTAAATAAATAAAAAATTATAATTAATTAAATAAATAAACGGAGAAATAGATAAATAAATATCTTAAAAAATTAATAAACAACTAAATAAATATATAATGAATAAAAACGTCATTAAATAAATACACAAAAAAATAAAAAAATTAATTAAATAAATTTATAAATATAAATAGACAAATAAACAAATTAAAAATATAAATAAATGAGTAAAAAAAAATAGATAAATAAGGAAAATAAAAAAAAATTAATAAAAAAAAATAAATAAATACATAAGGAAATTAATTTAAAAAAAAATTAATAAATATATAAATAAACGAAAAAAGATAATAGAATAAATAAATAAATAAACAATTAAATGAAAAAAATTAAAAGATAGAAAGATAAATTAATAAATATATAAATAAATAAGGAAACAATGAATAAAAAGCCAAATAAATAAATAATAATAATAATAACTAAATAAAAAGTAGAAAATTGAATAAATAAATAAAGTAAATAATTGGATGAACAAAAAAAAAAAACAAATAACTAAATAAATAAATGAATAAAAAAATATGAATATAATTCAATAAATAAATAAGCAAATAAATATATTGATAATTAAATATATAAATAAAAAAATAAAATATTGAATAAAATAAACAGTTAGAAAATAAGTAGGTAATTAAATGAGTAAATAAAAAACATTTTAAAAGTAATTAAATACACATTAAATTAAAGAAATTGTGAAAACTAAGGTATTCTAAATTAATTATTTAAATGGTTAATAGATAAATATAAATATTTAGAAAAGACAGGACAGAAAATAATTCATTAATAAATAAAAAATAAGAAATAAGAAAGATAAGAAACCTTATAAAATATTGAATAATAAATATATAGAGATTAATTAGTTAATAATAATAAATAAATATAAACAAAAACGAGAAAACAAACGAAAAATAAATAAATGAAGTAAATTAATTAAAAATGTCAATAAATATATATTTAATATAAAGGCGTTTGTTATCAAAACCAGACCTAAATTTTTTTTTCGATTTTGACCAGTTTTTTTGAATCGAAGATCTGGAATTGACTGAAATTATAATTTTATTCAAATACAGAAAACAAATTTTTTTTTTTAAGTTTTCATTTACATATAATATTTAGAATGTAACAACACTGGAAAATGAAATCAAAAGCAAATTTTTTTTTCCTAAAATAAATGGGAAAAGTCGCCAATCTACTAACAGAAGTGACTTTGATTGTTTTTGCTACAAAACAAAACTAAAAAGTAAAGTGCCCTCTAGAATTTTCGAATATGTGAATATCAAATTGATTTTGTGATTTGGTATTGAAAATAAAGAAGAGACAAACCGCGATTATGTGGCCTCCTTGAGTTGCTGACTTTGGCCATATCCGGTGAAGATAAACCACAGCAAAAATCCTCATCTGTAAGATTACGGAATTTATTTAAATTCACTAAAATTATTGGTGTACTTTTTTTTTCAAATGCTTTACACATTTTTAGAATTATGTAAATAAAGAAGAGAAAACTAAAAAAATAAAAAATTATTAATAAAAACAGAGCCAGAATAACGTTCAAAATTTTATAAAAACTAAAATTATTTTAAATAATAATTTTTTAGTTGAAGCTGCATGAATTATCCAACCCTTCAAGTGCATTTCAGATATGGAAAAACTTTCATGAAAATCTAACAGACATTCCGAATTGGCTTAAAAACAAACTGTAGGTTTTACATTTGTCGGGAAAGCGTCAAGTTATACACCCCAGAATTACTACTGTGGGCTCATAGGTTAAGTTGAAGCATTGTGGGCATCAACTCACATATCTAAGCCAATACCCAGTCCCGCTGTCAAATCAAAATGCAAAGGAGTATCTAGAGGAGTATGTAACGATTTTCTTAATATTTTTCCCAAATTTATCTAAATTCCTCTTTATAAAATGATGACCATCAAGATATGTTTCAATTTCATCTACTGACATTTACTGACGCTGTCATATTTGCTTGAAAATTATTTTTTTTTTTTTGAATTTTATCCTTCATTTCGTTCTCTTTCAATGCCTTTCTCAGCACGCGACCAATGGTTGGTCAGTTGTGCATTTTTCCATATGTAATGCGGTTTTGGTAACAAAACCAATAAGAGCTAGCCACAAGTGAGCCCGCATACATATCCTCTCGACGCGTTTGCGGATTTTTACACGAAAAAAAAAATAATAATGGAAACATCAAAAAGGAAAAGAAAAATTTTCAGCGACATATGAAATGTTTAAAATGATGTTTGCACAATTTCCCAGTTGAGTACACGAGCAATCGAAGGTAAGCATATGACAGGAATACTACATATGTACAAATTCACACGCTATTCATACTTATACTTATACTTATACTTATACTTATACTTATACTTATACTTATACTTATACTTATACTTATACTTATACTTATACTTATACTTATACTTATGCTTATACTTATACTTATACTTATACTTATACTTATACTTATACTTATACTTATACTTATACTTATACTTATACTTATACTTATACTTATACTTATACTCGTCCCATACTCACATATGTACTCACATACATTACAAAACTACTGGCTTACAAATGTAAGTAACCTCACTACTACACATACTCACCGTTAACTGGCGGCAGTAGACGTTTATCGTAGCGTTTCTTTTCCAGCAACAAGTCCAAAATTTCCTTATCCGAGCTGGACTCGTCGAATCTGCGAATGAAAGAGTTTCAAAAGAAAGCGTGGAAAAGTGAAAGAAAGAAACAAATTGGAAAATTGTAGGAAAAAAAACGAAAATACACAAAATAACTGTAAATTCAAGGTAATGGTTGCATAGGGAAAAAATTGTTAAAATTTCTTTGTATAACCTAAAATTGTAGATATATAATATATACTTTTTATACATACATAATACTCTTACACTATAAAAGAGGCAAGTTAAGCAAAGTAGATAATGCATTTTATGTATTACATGTGTATGTGTGTATATATGTGTGTATGTGCGAGTATGATTTTACCAAGGTAGAACGAGCACAGCGGACAGTGTATAGTATGTGGTTATCATGGGTGTGTATGTGTGTGTGGTATGTGCTAGGAATGTATAAATATAATATATATGTATGTATCAATGGAATTTTATTTTTGGTTCACTCTTTGAAACACACACAAATACATTTGTAAATATGTATGTATCGTATGTAAGTTACAAGAGAGTAGTTTGTGTGCATATACATATATATTAAGCATATGTGTGTATACATATGTCTGTGGTAACATTACATTTCATTATCATATTGTATACATAAATTTATCTAGCATAAATGTATAAAATTCATTTTAACGAAACTTTTTAATTTCCATAAGCTACTTTTAGGGGCAACGTTTCTTTTGCACAGCTAAATTGAAGACTTCTTTTTCGTATCACAAGGGTTGTGCTGCCATTGGGAAGCTGAATAAGTTAAACAATTTTTGTTATTTTTAGTTTTTTCTTTTTTTGGAAATTTTGCTATGGGAAAGACGCTGCTTTGATGAGGGTGCAATTAAATAATTAAATACTTTTGTGGTGTGTAAATAAATCATTTGATGCCAAAGTTAAAAGTAAAGCATGTAAAATTGGCTTGAAAAATGGCTTCGTATTTATTACAGTAAAACTTTCTAATGCCGTTTTTGCGTTGAGACTTCTTACTGTGTCATAAACTCTCGAGCTTAGCTCTGAATGACATATTGACTATGAAGAAATGACTGAAGAAGTGCTTTAAGTTTTATTTCAGTATTTACTAAATCAATATATCATATATATTGTTTAAATGCTTGTACATATATAATGAAAGTATGTACATAAGATAATTGTCGGAAAGTCACATGAAATTTTCAGTTACCTCAACCTCCTAAGGAATGATATTTGCTTTAAACTAAATATATTCAACCCACTTTATAACGCGCTCTCAATAATAACAAGATTTGGAAATCATTTCAGTTGTTAGTTCTGTTACGTCTTCGTATGAGTACCGCACCAAAATCTTCTCAGAGCGCAACTTGTTGCTTGCATTCTCTTAATGAGTTAGAGGAAGTAGTTTGGTGTTGCTTTTCTTGTCAACCTCACCTAGGAGCAGACATTGGCTGTCTATGACGTCAAGGTTATGGAGGTTGAGAAAAACGTTAGTTTCTACGGGCTCGATGGTTTTAGTTGAGAAGGTTTTAGTGAGCGTTAAAAGAGGTGGTGAGGCGTCGGGACGGGTTGTGTGGAACCTGTCGGCATCAAATCGACACAAGTAAGAGTTGAACACACTACAACGTCCGACATGCTTAATGAGATTCCCTGCTGACGTCAGCCTAACCACACGGTTCTCAAGGATACAGCCTTCCATAATTTAAGCAAAATGATATCAATTGGCTGTGTGGGTTTGACGCCAATTTAAGTTTCTGCTGCATTATGGGTCCTGCACCTGGTTGCAATGCAACTTTACATGGAGCGAACACAGCCATCACGATACTCCCTGAAGGTCTTTGAGTCTACTAATATAGCAAAAACTTGGTTTTACTCGGGATTTGCCGGGCTGCTCGGGTTTTTCGCTTGTTATAAGTGGGGTTTGCTTGGTAAGTGATTCTCTGTGAATGAAATTTTGGATCATCTGTAGTCCTTGCTGTTGATGCCACAAAAGCAAAAGTAGTTTTTTGCGAATGTTTTGGGAATAACAGTCTGACTGGGTATAAATCAAGGTCGTTCCGCTATGAAGAGCCGACCGTTTTTGGATTTTGTTCGGCTCTTTCAAGAGGCATGCCTAACTGTAACATTTTAGATCTATCCACATGTCGTCCTGACTAATTTTTCTGTTCTGTGGTGTTGAATGGAGTCATTTCGGTTGAAGGGAAAAATCCTCATAATCACTAAAGAATATTGTCATTCTCATAGCCACTGACAATTTTTAGGAAAACTCTTTTTTTCATTACCTAAAAGTATGCAATTTCAGGCGACTTTTCCAAGATTTGTTTCTCTTTAAAGTAAAGAAAGTGTGCCTACAAGTGCTTGAGATGAGAGTGAAATGAAAAATGAAAGCGTTAAAATTTTGTATACACATTTTGTTTTTGTCGAAACAGAGTCTCTTGCAAAGCAATTACTTGAATTAGTTTGGTGAAAAGTGGACAGCTACTTACTTAAGCGCACAATTATGTCGCCCACATCCATGGAAGCGATGAGAACTGCGTCCAATTAAAATGGGAGTATGTTTTGTTTTGGATATTTTTTTTAAATATTTTTTTTTGTTTTTGGATTTGATTTATAAAAAAATTAATTTAGCTAATGTTTTATAAAATTTTTAATGATTGTATAATTTTTTTAATTTTAAAATTATTTATTTTTTAAATAGCTAAACCGTATAAACCAGTAACGACAACAAGAAAAATACGTTAAACTATTTACAATTAATTTCATATATTTTTTTTTGCATTTTTTAAGAACTACTGATTAGAACAACACTGATTTCAAACAATTTATTGACGAGTGTCTAGTTAAAAAAAAAAATTCAATGAACATGGCTTGCAAAGCTTGAAATAAGGAAAAGCTCAGCTTTTAAACAGTTGGAGTAAAAAAAAATTTAAAGTCAGAGTCTGCCGTCGTAGTCTAACCAAATTTGGTGAGTCTCATTTCTCTGGTGAGGTATTCAGAACCGATGACGAAGCACAGTTAGAGTTCGAGCTAGTTTTTGGGAAGCTTCTCAAATACTTATTGCAAATTTAAACTCTCTCTATATACGTTAAACGTTTGAAGATGCCAAGCACTGACAACAGTTTGCATCAAAGCTCTTAGAAAAGTAGTAAAAAGTCTAAAGCAGTATATCACTATAGTGATGTGTTGATTTTTGTGATGCTAAGCAGAATATGGCTGTAAATGAGTCTTGGCAAAAAATGCCTGGCCTATTATATCATTGTCATAAAATCTAGAAATTTTATTGTTTTTAAAATAATTTTTGTGTATGGTCATTATTTTAATTTTTATATTTCTTGGGTACAGGTATTTTATGTATTTTTTGTTTGTTTGTTTTTTTTTTTTTTTGTAATGGCATAACAAAACTTAAAGCTTTCGCAGTAAAAGTCTTTGAACTCGCATGCAAATTTATTAAAAAAAAAAATTATTTTGACGCGACTATGAAGTCTAATTTTAGGCGTTTCAACAACTGGAATGAAAACTAAAAAGGTTCTAAATTAGAATAATGTTTAGTTTCAAACTTTGGTAATAAATTTAGCTTTATAGTGGGCAGCAAGCGCTTGTAAATTTTTTAAATTATTTTTATTTAATTAAACTTGCTCCAATTGGGGGGTTGCTTTAATTTCGCAGCGTTTAAAAGCAGATTTTTTTTTGTAAATTAATTAATTTTGTAGATATTTCAATATATTATTAATTGTAAGCTTAATATTAACTTTCGAATTTTTCTTAGATTTAGCTGTTCGTTTTTGGAATAGCGCACTTACTTTGACCAATCGATGCTTTGACTGCAAGAAAGAAAAAAATCAAAGAAAAATAGTACATAAAACAAAAACTTATAGTAGAAATTTGTAGTTTAAGTAATTTTCAATTTTAACGCTAATTCTAATTTTGTTTATTGATTTATTTTTATTTTTTTTTTCAAATTTTCAACTAGGCATAGAGTATAGTAAGCGTTTAATTTCAAAATGCCGAATTCAGTGGGGAGTTTAAATAAAAAGTCGAAGAAATCGAAAAAAAAAAATGTAAAAATTAAATAAAAGAGGAAAATACGCCTTCTACATATATGTATGTATGTATGTACATAGGTAACAATTACGTTTGCCCGGGTAGTGGAAGTGGAGAGTGCTGTATGCAGTTATGTATGTACGAGTGCACATTTGGGCGTTCGGCAAGTGGTGAATACGAAAGGAAAGGAAACGTAAATGCTGTTCTGTGTGCGCTCGCATAGTTTTCATTTATGTATGTTCATGCGTGTGTGTGTATGTGCATTTATTATTGCGCTCCGTTGTGTGTGTGCGTATGTATGTGATTTATTAATTGCCCTTGTGCATATACATATGTATATAGGGACGTTCGCAAGCCCTTTGTGCCGCTGCTTATAGAGAGTATTTAGCGCCTCTTAATTTCACACTCGTCCTCTCTCACCCTCACTTGATCCCCCCATGTGTTCTTTTACTCTTTCACTTTCACTTTCACTTTCCCCTTCACCGTCACCTTCACTTTCACTCCCTCCCCCCCTCCATTTCGCTCTACGCACACGCTACTTACATGGGATGCTTATCGAAGGGTGCCTTGTCGGGCGAATGTGCCGCTGTTGTTGTTGTTGTCAAATAGCAAAGCACCAATATGAGACTCGAAGCAGCGTAAAAACTAATTGAATTGCCCAATAGATGATAGTAGTTGTGTCCGATGTAGCTGAAGGCGCCGTAAGCGGCAGCGGCTGCTGTTTGTACGCCGCGACGTAGGCGGTGACGTCGATTTTGTTGGTGTTGTTGTTGATTTTGTGGTTGTTGTTGTTGCTTTTGTGGTTTTGATTGTGGGGAATGATGTTGTTGTTCGTCTTGTTGTTGTTGTTGTTGCTGCTGCTGCTGTGAGTAAGACGTCTTTTTGTGGCGTTTTTCTATTTTATTTTGCTGTTGCTCTTTGTCTTTTTCTTGTTGTTGTTGTTGTTGTTGGTGGTGGTGGCAGTATGTAATAGCATTCCTTTGTTCACACAAATTAGCTTTCAACTCGTGCTGACGCCGACGCTGACGCTGACGGCAACATTTCGCCAGTTGCAATTCATCAGTTCGTTGCTGTTGCTTTTGTTGCATTTGTTGTTGCTCACATTGTGCGGTCTGCTGTCTTCCACGCTTGTATGCCAACTGTAGTGGCGGCTGGCACTTACTTTGTAACCCTTTGCATCGCTTCTGTTGCTGCTCTGTCTTTGTCGCCTCACCCCTGTCGCATGCTGGCTTTGTCACCTCCTCTTCCGCTTCGCACAGTAAATCCCATTCCTTCGTCTTGTGCATTATCAAATTGTCGCGTAAGTTAGCCCAATGCTCGGTTAGGGCGCTGCGTGCTTGCTGTAGCAACACTTGCCAACCTTGGTTGTGTTCATTACGCGCCGCCGCCGACTTGGCGCCACATTCGCCGGCATACGCAGACGTCCCCGCGGCCGTTTCCGTGGGCTGCGACAAAGTAGCGCATACATTTTCGTTTGCGTCTGCTGGCTCGTCTAGTGCTTGTGTTTGAAGCTGTTGCTGCTGCTTCCCTTCTCCCTGCCCCGTTTGTGGCGGCAAGGCGTCGCGCGTTTGTGGCAGTTGTTCACGCGATAACGGTAGTCGGTAGCTACAATTATTATTTCCGCTTTCCGTGTGGCACACAAAGTTTCCACAAACACTTGCCTGCGTGTCGTGTGTCGCCTTCCTGTTGTTGTTATTATTATTGTTGCTGTTGTTGCTGCTGTTATTTCGCTTCCTCGCTATCGCTTGTGTTGTGCAATTATTTACAAAACTTGCAGTCAATTTGCAATGTATGTCGTCAGTGCGGTGTAATTCTTCAAACGCAACCGCATCGGCTTCCGTCCAAACACCCTCAGAGTGATTGCACTCAATTTGTGTTTGCCTTTCAGTCTCTTCCGCTTCGGCGCCGTCCACTTGTACTTCCTCCCTTCCGCCTTTTTCGACTCTTAGTTCCTCCTCCTCTGCTTTCACTTCAGCCTCCTCTGGCTCGTTCTTGGATGTCTTTTTATTTGCTATAAATGTCGTTGCGTTTTGTGTCGTCTGTTGTCGTCGTCGTCGCCGTTTGCTGTTGTTGTCACTTTCTTTTGAAATATTTGCCTCCTCGTCGCTGTCAGCGCTGCTGCTGCATTGACAGATCACCTCTGAACTCAATAAACGCAAGCTATTAATGTCGCTACTTTTATAGTTGTCACAACAGTTGTTTGTGTTGTTGCTGTTGCAGTTATTATTGTAGTTGCTGAAGTGTTGACTCTCAGTGTTCGGACAGTTTTTATTGCTTTTGTATTTATAGCTGTAGATGCTGCTGCGTTGTGTCCTCGTTTTGGCAGCTTCGGAGGAATAGCCCATGTTAGAGCATCTGCGGGCAGAGAGAAGAAGAGAAGAAGAGAAAATTTAATGTTATTATGTCATAGAGGATTTGGGAAGAACAGAATTTGCTTATCTACGGTGGGACGTGTGAACTTTGACCAGTTTAAAATATTAAAATATTTTTTGTTCATCTATAGATGGACTATTGGATATTTCCAAGCCACCTGCCGGGTTGGCTGAGAGGTTGGTAGTAATGAAGTTTTAACAGATAACTCTAGACTTGACGGTCAAAGAGTCAGAAAAAGAAGACCGAAATGAGAGGGAAAAGGTCGAGTTCTACAGCTAACTGGGAATCTACTATAACACTGTTTCATGGGATGGCATTCAGAAAGAATCTGCTGCGAGAGCTAGGGACAATTAGACATCTGATATACTACCGGCCTGTTTTAAGCTGATGAAGATTTTGGTATTTGACACACGCTTTTATGGATAATCTTTGCTCTGGTGCAGAATATAAGATAAGTGGCCAATATGCTTAGGCAGAAATGAGTCGATTTATATCTACGAGAAAAAGCAGCTCCAGTGTGTGGAAGGCCAATTATCCAAAATGTCGTTGAAATAATGAAAATCGTTGATACAGACCATCTTGCGAGTACTGTTCCACTTACCCAGGCGCGCTAAATATTGATCTATGGGTACCACATGAGTAAATGAGAAAAAACATCTTGGACCGAGATTCCAGCCGCAAATCTGTTGCTGAATTGTAACAAAATCCACCCGTTTCTGAAGTGGATGGTGACTGGAGATGAAAAGTGCGTCACTTACAGCAATGCCAAATGGAAACGGTCGCGGTGAAAGGAAAGTAAGCTACACTTTATTGGGACCTGTACTGAGAGCATTTCGAACGTCTGCTGTAAGCAATCGCACAGGAGCGCACAGCTTTGGTCAAAAGAGCGGGAATTGTGTTTCGTCAGGACAACGCCAGATCACACATCTCAACTCACCAGAAGCGTGAAGAGCTTGGTCGGGAGGTTATTATGCATTCACCTTATAGTATGAACCAATAAGCCAGTGATTATCTTTTGTTCCTGTCTATGGCGAATGAATTAGTTGGTGAAAAATTGGCCTCAAGAAAAGCCTGTAAAAATGGGCTGCTCAAATTTTCGGGTTTCTGTGAGAGAGGCATAATGACATTACCTTCAGAATGATAAAGAGTTATCGAGTAAGATTCGTTCTGCACCTGGGTACGTTAAGAAATAAAAAATAATAATAATTTTCCTGAGCAAAAGTCGGAAAATTGGCCAATTCCAAAAAGTGACTTTTTTATATGCGCGTTTCATGCGAAGTGATCTATTACAGATTGAAATTTGTTACGATGACACGAAGAGGTCACGCTAATATTGGTCGGCGTTCCCGACGTAGAGGGAAATCAGCTTGAACCGGAATGATTGAGCAATAACGATTGAGAAGAAGACAAATTCGTGCTCAGGAAATCCATGAAGCAAGAGATCAATGTTTGACTACTCAACGACAAGGCCAGCAACAATAAGGATTGCTTACTTCGAATATCGAAAGTGCAGCCTTTTAAAGAGATCAGCAAATACCAATGAGATCGATACATGAACTACAAAGAAGCGCTCTGGAGAATATTTGCCTTTGCAATTCATGAACTCGCAGTTCATTTGGAGAATGACCAAAAAGTTCATTTCAACCCAGAAAATGCATTACAGCGAGTGGAAACATTACCAGCAACAATATTGACGAGTTTCTTCTCAACTTGCCAGAGTGATCGAATGCATGGTCGAAGAAATGGGTATCTGTGGAATGAGTACAGAAGAACTATAATTATCTCCGCATAAGTTTTGTAGCAAAAAATAAGTAAAATTTGACGCGCAAAGTGCTTATTTGAACAATAGCAACAACAGTAACTTTTGTTTTCGAAAATGCAAGGGTTGCTTAAGCTACATACATATGTAAGTATGTATATATAAACAAAAGCGCTGTTAACATAATGTTTTGGGAAAAAGTTGTTGTTAATTATTTTTGGTAACATGATTAGTAAAAGCAACAAATTTACTACGCCAAAAAGCACCAAATGAAAACAAATAAATTTACAACAATAACACAGACACACAATTACTGAACAAGCAATAGCTGCCTTGCAGGGAAAAGCACTAGTTCATCTTCCATAAATTTTCTTTCAAGACGATGTCCCACAAACCGTCCATTGTCAGTCTACGCCTCAAAACCATACTAGTTCAATACCAGTTCCTAAATACTAGCTGAAATACTGGTTATTTTATACAAGTTTAAAACTAGTTCGTATTAGAGCAGTCTGGTTTGTCTACTCATTAAGTAGTGTGACTGATTGCGGTATTCCAAGGCGTTGTACCTATTTTAAGGAGGCTCTCCTCTGATATTCGGCAAAGATCGGGCAAAGTCTGCATTTTTTTTGGGAGAATGAAAAGGCGTACGAATTTCCAGTTTTGAGTATTAAATTTTTTTTTTTGGTATTTGAGATTTTAAAACGGCAAAAAAATAGTCGAAATTCAAAATGTCGGCCTCTGCCATGGCCCAACAACTTCAAGCCTTTAGTCTCTTGTAGTAGACTGAATTCTAAAATCGTTGCCATTACTTGAAGACCGTGAAATTTTCAACGTCCTGAACCCGAATTGAAATATTTGTAACGATGAATTTATTACATAATGCTCATTGTAATTATAAAGTTAAATTTTTTGCTACTTTTTCACTTCAATTACGTTAAAAAAATATAAATAATTAATTGTTAATGCTAATCTTAGCTTCAAAACGTACAAAAAACTATATACTTTGAAACAGATTTTAGATAAAAGAAATTGGATCAATAGATCAAGCCCGGGGCTTGATGAAGGTCGGTAAAAAAATCGATTTTTTGATCCAAAGTCAAGGGAGGGTGCTCTTAAAGAATTTTTTATGAGTGTTCAGATAGATTTGAGAACGCTTGTTGTTGTGGTTGTTGTAGCGGCAAATCTAATAATTTTTGTCTAAGCTTCTTGGTACTTACGAGCCCTACCTTCTTTGCCAAAATGACAATCTAGTATGAGTTAGCCCGCAAAATACTAGTTCATATACTTCAATACTAGTATAATTCTGGTTAACAGCAAACTAGTATGATTTCGCCTTCAAAATGCTAGAATTTAACTAGAACTTTTGCATACAAGCCCAGTTTTCTAGTATGCCTCTTCCCTGCAGGGGTTGTACTACTTGCAAGTGTTGCACACACACACACACATTGATAAAAATATATAACATGAAAACTTTGTTTTTGTACATCTTTGACAAAATTAAATTACATCACGTCAGGCAGAGACCTGTCGGTGGGTGGAGGGAGGCGTTCCAACGGATGGGAGTGTCAAGCGAAAATGAAAACTTTAATTTTGTAAATGTTGAGGAAAATTTTGTTTGCAGCATAGCCTTATACATATATACATCTACAATATGTATATAGGTATGTGTGCTTGTGTAAGTGAAAGAAAAACGAAATGAGATGCGCTTGGCGCACTAAGCGCGTCAACCAGTCAGTCAGCCGGAGTTGGCGAGCAGCAGCAGCAGCATCAAATTGAGGGTAAAATATGAAATGTGAAAACTTTTGCAGCAGTCAAACTGTTCATAACTTGTTGTTGTTAGTGGATGGCGAGGAGTTGGATTGTTGGATATTTTTATTTTTCAAACTAAAACTAGACTTCTAAAATCGGCGCATAAATACATTTGTACGGGTTTATGTATAGGAAATACTCGTAGTCCGTATATTCTAGAAAAAAGTCAGCAAAAGTTTGTACAACATTAGTTGAAGGACGTCTGTGGGGAAATATGTTTGTAATGCGTTCATCTTGATTTTTGCTCAAGGAGAGCGCGTTAAGTTAATTTGCGGGAAGATAAGTTTAACGCAATTGGAATGAGCGGCGTAAGAGCTATGGCTAGAAAAGTTGCGCAATGTTTGGAAAGATTTTGTATTTATGTTTTTAAAATATGATTTAATATAATTTGTGTCAATAGCATTTTATATAGAAATGTATTTGGGGTAAATTAAAATTTAAAATTCTCTATTTATATTCTAGTGGCAGGCGCCATTGCCATACTTAAGACCGCGGTTTGAGCCGTGGTTTGACGAACATACAAAATTATGGAAAACTAATTTTTGTAATTGAAGTCGTATTCGGCAGGGAATGTCAAGCCCTTCGAGTGTATTTCTGACATGAAATAAAACTCCTCTTGAAAAAACATCAGCCGTACGGAGGTGGCTTAGTATAAACTGTAGGTCCCTCTCTATCTATTGGACACCATCAAGACGTATACCACTGTTTTGATGAGGAACTGTGCCAAAACTCGCTTTAGCGGTTATAAAGCGCCAATCATATTATGTAATCTGTTTAATTTGTTTTTAATTTATATTATTTTAATTTTTTTTCCTTTAATTATTTTTTTTTAATTTTCGCTAATTTTGTAAGATAGCTTAATTTTAACTCGTTTATATAATATAAATTAATGTTTTAATTTGTCAGAAATTTATTTAAAATAATTTTCCCTATTTTAAATAAATCCCATTTTTTGTATTTTACCATATTTAGCTTAATTTAATTTATTTTTATATATTATTTTAAATGATTAACTTAGTTTTTTGTATATTAATTTATTTTATTTTATGTTACTTTTTTTCGCTTATCTTGTGCTGTTTAAATTAATTTAGTTCTATTAATTTTTTTAAATTATTAAATTTAATTTATTTTTTATTTCTATACCTTATTTTATTTTTTTGTTTTGTTATATATTTAATTTAATTTCATTTTGTTTCCTTTCAGTTTTGTTTTTTACTTTCCTTGTATATAATGTTATTTCTTTTAGTTTTATTTCTCTTAAATTTACTTTATTTAATTCCATTTAATTTAATTTTATTTTTCTGTACTTTATTTTGTTCATCTTATTTAATTTAATTTTATCTAATTTCATAGTTAGTATTATTTAATATAATGTAGAATTATTTTAATTCATTTATTTTTTCTTACTGTTATT